GTTCCCTGAGTCCAAATAACCAAGTGCCACAAAATGGTTCTGTAACTTGGTAACTAAATACACAAAATAAATATATACTGATAAAGAGAAAATATGAAAAGAAAAAATGTATTATGAACCTAATTGCAACATTTATTGGTTTTGACTACAACCTTTAAAATAAAATAAAATAATGTAATAAGATAAAAAACAAAACAAAAATAAATCATAACTAATATCATTTGAAAAAGAAAATCCCTACAGAATCCATTATATCCATAAAGAATTAGTTCTGAGAAAAAGATGTATAGTTGACAGCTAAACCAAGTTCTTTGCTATCAGAAATTTCCTTTCCTTGGTTAGATTACTAAACATTTAATGATTAGTCACAGATAGCCACTTATTTATCCACAGACAGCAGATTATTGATTCCCATTAGAGCCAAATCCCTACAGAGAAAATAAAAATTAAGTCTTCATTGTTTATAGTATGTACTACACTACAAACAATAAGATAGACAAATTCAACAGTAATTGTACAGGAAATAAAATAACTAAGAAGGAGAGATTTCGGACGTGGGGTCATTGATTTCACTGAAACATTTTTGGTGATACGAGGTCGAAAAATATTAGATCCACCTCCGAGGATTCTTGCCAATGCGCTTAAAAGACGAGAAACAAATTTTTATTATTTTTTTTTTTATGTTACTGTTTCCTAACTTTGCTCTGAATGAATTTATAAGTTATTATATACATCAATACTTTTTTTTGTGTGTAAAATAAGAAAAACATATTGCTTATTATATCAAACAAATTCTTACATATAATAAATTACAAAAACCCATAGACGCTTCCAGTTAAGTGGGCCAATACGAGTTTGTTTTGAAATAAAAAAATATAAATTTTTGGACGTCGTTTTATGGAAGGATTTTTTTCATGCCGTTTACTAAAATATTCATAACTCCTATTTAAAATTTTCTAATCCTATTTATTTTTTATCTCCAACCCTAATTTATTTGCAGGATTTTGGTTTGTGTATTTTATAGGCCCCAAATTCATGCTAATTCTCATGTGGATAAGTGGAGCCATGTTGAAGTTATCACAACTTCTGTGATTTTCGAAAAAAAAATTTAAGGCTCCAGTCTAGGCAAAAATTTTTATTTTTCGATTAGTATGAAGATTCGTATTTAAGGATTTTTCGAGGTGCAGAATACAAATCTCAACTTTTTTTCTCCTTAAAAAAATATTTGAACCTACTTTAATACACATACTACAGTTGTATACCAAATATAGATTTTTTCCTAAACCAAATGTAAGATTATATGCACAAACCCTATTTTGTCGAGATTCAACTCGAACAAACGAAAAAAGCATTTATTGTATGTATTTTACACATAGTACACCACAAAATATATTTTTTGGGAAAAAAAATATGATATTCATTTTATGCGCTCCTAAGAAACCTTTAAATAAGCATTTTCAATGCAACCTAAAATGTAAATTTTTTGCTCAATATTCTGCCTTAATTAATAGCACTTGTGAGATCCATCTATGTTTAAACCTTTATAGTAGATATTAAACTGTTAAACATTAACACATTAAAGGCGGGAGTCGTAATACTAGGATTTATCTCGACTGCTGCTTAAAGGCGAGAGTCGTAGTACTACAATTTATCTCGACCAGCATACTTTCGTCAAGATCCTCCACCTTCAATGTGTTAAGGAAATTTTCATTGCAATAAAAAAAATATATATATATTTTGTTTTTCTAATATCCACAATAAAGCTATAAACATGGATGGATCCCAGAAGAGATATTAATATAAGGCAGAACATTGAGTGAAAAATTTTCATTTTTCAATAGCATATATATTATAAAGGCAGAATATTGAGCAAAAACTTTAATTTTTCAATTGTAACAGAAATTTTTATATTTAAGGTTTTTTAGGGGAATGAAAAATTAATATCATATTGTATTATCCCAAAAATATATTTCATGGTGTAATATATATATGATATGTACAATAATTGTTTTTTTTCTTATTTTCGGGTTGAATCTCGACAAAATACTGGGATTTGTGCATATATTACATTTGATACTTGTCCGGTTGGGAAAAAAATATATATTTGGAATAACAGCTATAGGTTGTGTTCAAAATTGAAACAAATAATACTGACCTAAGGAATAAAGTAGGTTCAAATATTTTTTTTTAAGGAGAAACAAAGTTGAGATTTTGCATCTCAAAAAACCGTTAAATACGAATTTTCATACTAATCGAAAATAAAAATTGTTTGGTCCAATTTCCGCTTAGGCTGAACCCTTCAATTTTCTTTTCTCGAAAATTACAAAAGCTGTGATGACTTCAACATGGCTCCATCCACTTATCCAAACGAGAATTAGCATAAATTTGGGGGATTATGATATACATGAAACGGCACAACCCATAATCCTGCAAATAAATTAGGCTTGGTAAAAAAAAAAAAAAAAAAACATTTAGGAAGTTTTTATTTATTTATTCCTCTGAAAAGTGTGAAATATCAAAGTTATCAATAGTTTTGAAGAACAATAATTTGGCTTTTCAACGGCTGTAATAACGTCGACTCAGGAGAAAAACCTGAGGAGTTATGAACATTTCAGAAAACGGCATGAAAAAAAATCCTATCATAAAATGATATCCAAAAATTTATGTTTTTATATTTCAAAACAAACTCATATTTAAGAGTTTTAATAAACCCTAAAAACGAATTTGAATAGTTTTTTCATTACAAAAATTTACTAGGCCTACTTGACTGGAAACGTCGATGGATTTTTGGAATCTATTATATGTAAGAATTCGTTTAATACAATAAGCAATATGTTTTTCTTATTTCACAAAAAAAAAAATTATATAGATTGATATATTTATAATAACTTATAAATAAATTCATTCAGAGCAAAGTCAGAAAACAGTAACATAAAAAAATAATGATGTTTTATAATTTTTTTTTTCTCGGCTCTTAGGCAATTGGCAAGAGCCCTCGGACATGGGTCTAAAATTTTTTTTACCTAGTATTACCAAAAAAAGTTTCATTGAAATTGGTGAGCCCACATCCGTAACCTCCCTGTGTAAGTAGTGTTTTTTTCAGCTCAATAGCAAACAGTGAAGGTAATATAAAAATACCAGCAATAACTGACGGAGCACATGAGGCGGTATAAGTCTTAGCAGGAGGGGTACCTCTCGACCTTATCCTGCGAAGGAAATATTGAGGAAATAGTTTCCCCAGAGCAGCTTGGAAGCGAAATGGGTTCTCCCGGACTACTGGGTCTCTCAATTCCGTAAGGGCATGGGGAATTCCGCGCTTAGTTGCATAGCCTTGGAAAAGATATACATCTTCTATGCCCCAGAGGCGAAGTACTGGAGAGGGCTGAACACATCATAATCAACAACACCGCCTTTAATGGCCAAAGGGACAGAATGATGCGGAAAAATGGAATTCATGGCCTTACAAAAAATGAACTTCCTTAACTAGTGACGGATCAAAACTAATCGTATTACAAAGATTTTGTGTATGCCCCCTTTATAAAGCTGCTCTGTGCTCGGCACACTTCAATTTAGGAAGAAGAGGACCACCTCCAGGAAGGACACCAGAATGACGGAACTATTTTCTACCTGAAGCCCCGAAGGAGAGAAGAATGTTTTTTGTTTCAAACCTTGTATGTTTAATAGCAGGGACAGAAGTGGGCGGGGTAGCCGAATGGGCTAAAGCGTGTGCACTGCACCGTCGTTGCCCGGCAACCTGATACATAAGACTTGGATAAAAAAATAGTCACGAGTTCGCGTCCCGGTGCCCGGAGGAGTTTTAAAAATCCCCGCCCACACTCCCTGGCCCGGGAAAACCCCGTATAGCCTTAAAGGCGAGGAAGGGGAGGACACAAAAAAAAAAAAAAAAAAAAAAAAAAAGCAGGGACAGCATACAAATAGTTGTGTGAAACCCGTAGCCAAAAAGCAAGGCAGGGAAGATTAAATAAATAACATACAAGCAAAGGTTCCAATGATACTAATTTGGAAAAGCATGGATTAAAGTTAGAGTTTTATTTGAAGATTGTTTCATTTCACTTTGATTAAGAAAGAACATCAACCTCAAGACAGGCATGGATTTGAACAAAAGTCCATTGGAATGCCAACAATGCTTAGAAAACATGTCACAAAGTAGGTATTTATGGTAATATTGCAATATTTGAGGGGGGATGATGATAACAATGATAACAAAAAAAAAAAAATGAGTAATGGTCATTTGTGACAATATTGCCTCTAAAACAATTAAGAACCATTGAAAAAATAATTATTAAAATGTTGATTAATCTTGCCATTTAATTAAATCTTGCTAGTTAACAATTCTGATAGGTAAATTTATAGAAGTTAACGAAATTCTTCAGATGTATATTGGCATTATATACAAACATTGCACATGAAATAGTTATGACTAAATAAACTTAAAACAGGAATAACTAATACAAAATCAACATAGTTTTTCCGATATAATAAAATAAATATTAGATATTTTAACATAATTAATCTACTTCTATTGTCTTTTATTCTTGAGACTAGAATACAAGTTGTATTTTACAATGAATTTATAAATAAATGACTAAAAATATATAAAAACTACCCTAACCTAAATTTGTACCATGTATTTTTTTCAGCTATAATTATTAGGGTTACTTCTGTAAGGATAAACAGACGTTTTGTACAATCTAAGTTTTTACAACAGGCATTATCAGGCTAAAGCAAACTATGACACAATTTAAAGTATTAAGATTCTAACTAATCTTTCATTATCCACTCTACTAACTTTTATCTACAATAGAGGGTAAAGCAATTTTTGCCATTAATTTTCAACATCATTATTACAATGATTTATTTTGTAATACTAAATAATTAATGAAGTTATTCTTATTAAGTTAAAAATAAAATAATTTGTTTATGTAATATACTTACACGGTTTCTTTTTAAAAATGCAAAAGAAAGTTTGTTTAATGCCATTAGGTAAGACTAATACGCTTGTAGGTGTCTGCTACCCTTGTAGGAGAAGTGGATGAACAGACGAGATTTGGAATCGGACTGCTAGCTGTTGTAACAACCTGGAAAGAACGCTGTGGCAAGGATAAAGATGCTGTTGTAGATGTATTTGGAGCCTCTTTATGTTTTAATTTATGGGTCAATAGATACTGTTTCGTACTGAAAGTTCGTTGGCATACATCACACCTATGGGGAGGATCATCTTCATGACTAGCTTTGTGCATCAAGAAATAAGGTTTTACTACAAATTGTTTACCACAAGTTTCACAAACAAATGGTCCAGCAAGGCTATGAGTTTTCCTGTGTTTTCTAACATTGTCTTTACGTCCAAAAGATTTTCCACACAGATCACATGAATATTGCTTCTGACCAGTATGAGAAACAGAATGTCTAACAAGATGTTCCTTTCTACTAAATGTTTTACCACAATGACCACAAACGAATGGTCTTTCACCTAAACAAAAATAAAAATCTTGTTAACATCATTAAAATATTGGTTATTTATACATTATATATACTGTCTGTTTATAGCAAAAAGTCAGGAAGTACACTCTTAAAGGAGCTAAACTTTCTGTTGGAAATAATTCTAGTTTATTTATATCATATTTTAATATGTGGACAGCGCCATTTATGTCTATCCTGTTACCAGCGTTAGGCTGGTTTAGAGTTGTTGCTTTAGGGTGATGAAAACCATATGTTTGATGAAATTATTGAATATTGTTAAATATTAAAAAGGTGTTAATATTAAAAATATTAAATAAATAAAAGTGTATTCAGAAAAGACTGCTTTCTCATTTTATTTAAAACCCCAACACTTTCAAGTATGCAAGGGAGAATCTCTATCGTATTTATTGATGTAAAAACTGAATGTAAAACTAAATAAGATATTTTGTAATGCAAGAGCAATGACAAGCTAACTCATTATCAGTCAATAATGTCTGGGCATGAAAAGATCAGTAAACTCATCACCAGTAACAATGTGTTAATAATAATGGCTAAATAAGAACACTTATTATTGAATACTCAATAGTTGACTGTAGTATAATATGGAGGAAAGAGTTAATTCGGGGTGGCAGTCGTAAAAAAAAAGCTTAAAATAGTGCTAACTATTTTATTTAAGCCAACTATTCCACGCAACAATACAGATTTTCATCACGGCTAGAACAAGCAAGATACAAAAGTTATAGAAAACAGTAGTATAATATGACAAATCTTAAAAAAGAATCGAAAAGAAAGGGAATGTATTTAAAATTATGGAGGAATGAGTAAACAAGTGAATGGAAAGGTAAATCAAGTGGAGAAAGTGAAAAAAGTGATAAATACTAACATACGGTCAGGATGGAGTTCGTTGCAAACAGCTAAGTCATTAGAATAGATGGTGGGGTAATTAAGCAATATTGTTGGTGGCGTAGAAGGGGAATGGAAGTAACGGAAAATTATGAAGAACACAACAAGAACAAGAACAAATGAAATTACAATATCTAAAATTGAAAAATATCTATGAATAACTAATGTCTACAAATTGATATACTGATCTTTCTATAAATATTTAAATTGTTTTATATTGTTAAAAAAATCAGAAATATGTGATCATTTCTGTAGTGAAAAAAATAGCCTACAAAACTTTTTGTAAGTTTTGTGCTGAAATAAAAGTATTTATTTACAATAGAGTACTCATATTATTTTTTTTCAAACCTAGGAATCATTTATAATGGTAAGTTATATTTTGAAGCCTAACAGAACAATGGGGTGACCATGCAGAATTTGTTTGAGTACTCTATTTTTATTTTGTTGACTAAGTTAAACATGGATATTAAGATGAAAAGGAAGATTTTCCATATTGGATTGACAAGAAGTGCTAGTGACCTGAAAAAATCATTTATTGTGAAAGACTTGATTTTCTAAAATTATTTGTTCACTGGAAGATTTTGACCCAGAAGCTTAATGCCTTGGAATAGATAGAAAAATAAATCTTTGATCTTCTGATGGTAAATGATGTTTCTGAAGAGAAAATTGCCAGAAATAGAATGTACTGATGGTTATAGGGAAACGTACACTCTCCTGAAATGTAATTACCAAGATACCATTAAAACAGACCAAGGAACCATTGAAACTATACATCAAAAGTCGGTTTGAGGCAATAGTTTATAGTACCAGTATGTGGAATTTCGTATACTAATATTGAATTTAAAAGGTTCTCAGGAGATATGAAGAATTGGCTTCCTTTTTAGAATCAATTTAGAAAGATTGACAAAGATCCCTCCATTGACCCTGCTGATAAAACTCACTATTTATTGTAGGCTACATTTCCTGATAGTCCATCTTGTCATATTGTAGTCAGTTTTCCTGTCAATGGAAAGAATTATAAAAAGATTGTGGCTGACCTAAAAGATAGGTTTGGAAGAAAAGATCTTGCCATCGAGGAAGTAAATGATTCAGGTTTTTTTAGAAAATGGAAAATAACTTCATTTTGGGACAAAGTCCCTTGAGAATAACAAAATAGAACACAAGTATTAATAGTTCAATTAAAGCTAATTATTTACCTCACCTACCTGTTATAAAAGAGGGTTCAACAAGGATTAGACCAGTTTTTGGTACTTTGTGCTTAAAAGTCTATTGTTAAATAAATATATTGAAAAAGGTCTTAATTTGACTGATCTAATTTTAGATCTTCTTTTAAGATTTACATTGAGAACATTTCTGTCAACATTGATGTCTGATATAAAAAAAGGTTTTTCTGTATATATCAAAGATAATCTTAAATTTTTATGGAAGGATTTAAATGGTGATGAAAGGGTATTTAGGCATAGATCATATGTGTTTGAGATGTATAACAGTCTATATTTTACCATAGATAATCTGCCGATTTGTTTGCCAAAAAAAAAAAATTCTCCTCAACTACTTATTCTCAAAAAACAGTCAAATTTTATATTTTCATAATTGTTTTACAAGTCTGGATTATGAAAGTTCTTTGAATTTATAGATGAGGCTACTAGTGAGATGTCTGATCTTAGAAAGTGGGAGAGTTTTCTCAAAATGTTTCTAACTTTCCATCTAATGTAACATCTGATTTAGGGTTTAAAATGAACAAATTAAAGAATATTCTTTCTTTCTCCTAATGACAATATTAAAGAATGTAGAAGAAAAATATGATTAATCAAAATGTCCAATCACTAAAATATACACATTGTCTAAATTGCCAAAAGTTTTTGAGCCCATTGGATTTTGATTTTCATATCTATCTTGGCTACTCTATGTAACAAACTAATATTGTGTAAAATTTGGAAGCATAGATTAGCTTAGTGATTAAAGGTCTCAATGTGGCCTGTAGACCAAAAGGTTTGGAGACCCTAGTCAGTTGAAGTTAGTCCTAGTTTAGAGTCAACTCATGAAGAATGTTCTTTGAGAAGAAAGTAAGGCAGCATTTATCAGTGCTCATCAGAGTAAAGGTTACATTGTCTGCAAATAACATTGTAAACAAGTGTTTAAATGCATAAATGTATTATTAGTATTGAATACACTGCCAGGCCACAACTGTAATTTAAAGTAATTAAAAATAGGAAACTATAAACAAAAACAATTAATAAATTTATTGTTATTGATTAGAATCACCTGAAAAAACATATATTAAAAACTATGGATAGCATAAATACTTAGTATATAATTGTAATTCATATAATTAATATTATTGGATAATTAATATAAAACAATTAATATTATTGTAAATCATACCAGTGTGCAGTTTTTTGTGTTGAAATAAGTGCTCTTTTCTTTTGAAAAGTTTACCACATGAGTCACAAATATAACTGTTTATAATTTTTTCATCAACTGTGCAAGTTGTGGAATGGTTAATTCTATCTTCCTCTGAGCTAAACTGTTTGCCACAATTTTCACATTTATCATCACATTCTTCATCAGTTATTTCTTCATCTGGTTTCATTTTCAAAAATTCACGTATATGAACCATTGAAGTCCTAAAAAAATGAAGATTTTAATTAATTAATTCGGTTCTGGCAATTACCAAAAGCTGGATAAAATAGTGCTGAGCCATGACAGAAAGTGTAGCAACTGATCATTGGAATACAATCTGTACAATAAAAGGCATAGAAGAAAACATCAAGACTAGAAGAACAAGAATCAACCTCCTTAGTTTGAAGCATTGTTAGTCACAGATTGAAATTCAATTCAATTAAATGAAATTCAATAAAGACTAAAAGTATCTGTCTTTTGCTGTCTTAAAAACACATCTGGAAAATCCTCCACCGACCCTTTTACTTACCTACCAAAGTGTCAGTACTTTATACCTTCACTGCTCAAAACACAGTTAGCAAGAGAAAATATTAAATTTTTTATAAATTGATCATATATATTATTTTTAGTTTGTATAAATTTTTACATATTTCATTTATCATGAATCACTATTTTTTTTATTACTAACCACTATCTCTCCCATAATATTATATTTCTGATTATATTAAAAATATTCAGCTTTGATGATGACCCACATGTTTGGGTTGAAACGTCGGCACCAATAAAAACTTTATAAGGACTGCGTCCTGAATATTTATCACCCATGATATGTATTCCTTCAATGTTTCTCTTAATAGAGGATTGATGGTTGACTGTAGCGAATAATTGAAGAGAAGGATAGTTGGGGTGATCAGTCAAAATAAAAAATATATTTATTTTTACATTCCCCAACGTTCAGGCCTTCACATCAGGGCTGGTCAATCCAAGAAGCGTGGTAAGACTGCCGAGCAGTACCAATGAAGCATGTTTCTTTCTATTCAACTAAAGCAGTTCTCAACTGCCAGCAGTCACTGCAATCCAGTAAAATAGTACCTTAATATGAAAGAAAAAAAATTAATTGCCAAAAACTTCAGATAAAACAGTATCGCTTCAGCCTTAAATCATATCATCAAAGCACTCCAAGCCAAAAGCTGAATGCTAAGCATTGGCTAAATATCATCATAAGAATTTGACAAATAATTAAACTGATCAATTAATTAAGAATTTAGACCTTCATCGGGGTTGTTTACCTCAAATTTTAAAAAGAAGTGCACTTGTTTTGATACTTTAACAAAATATTCTTATTCACTAAGAATATGTGAATTGACTTAGTGGCTGTGCTAGAGGCAATACCCAGAATATCTGCTCTATTGCTTGCTGATGATCTACTACTATATGCAACCAGTAGCAACATAACAGCAATTAATGAGACAATGACAAGACTTTTACTTGGACCATGTCAAATGAAATGGAAGTGAACAACCAGAAAATTGACTTTCAACTGTTCACGTTATCAACTTAAGTACACGAGCTGGAAATCATTTATAATAATGTTCCCCTGCCAAGACACCAAAATGAATTGGAACAGGCAAATTGAAGATATGGAGGAAAAGGGAGAAAACAGGCTTAAGCTTCTAAAACGCCTTGGAGGAAAGACATGGGAGGGCCACTCCACTCTCAAGCAGCAATTCTCGCTGATACTAATGTGAATGAATGTCTGTCGAGTGCTATCTTGGAGTGTAAATCCCTCCTCTATGACCTAACACTTTGAGGCACCAATGTGGTCCTACAGAGGATTCCGAGCCATTGTGGAATTCTAGAAAATGAGGAAGCAAATAGTCTGCTCGAGAGGAGCAGAATTGCCTTAACCAGTCTATCCAAAATCTTACGATTCAATTCGGCGAATGGTAAGGATGGTAGTGAAGGAGGAAATAAAAAAACTTAGAATATGTTCAAAATTGATCACCTTCAACACGAATAACTTAAGTTTTTCATGGTGTTTAGAATCTCTTTATTTCACCCTTACAACTCTACACCATGCTTCAATTCATTTTAATTTTCTCGATGAAGTTTCAGGCAATTTTGTCCATTTTCTAGTCAAAATATTTATATCATTATTATATAATCCATCTAATAACATTTTTAATATAATTATTGTAACCTTTATCTCCTTAAATCCTTCCAATTATAAAATTCATAACTTATTTATGAAAAGTCAATTCTAAAAAAACTAGAGCGCCAAAAAATTAAACATTATTTTAAATTTACATCAAATGTTACACATCTTCATCCTTTTAATACAACAGCCTTATGTCTACTATGAGCTGAGAAGACAAAGGTTACAATAATTATATAAAAAATATTATTAGATGGATAATTTAATAGTCCATGGTACAGACCCCTTTTTATTGAATTATTAACATACGGCTGAAACTCCATAAATAACTTCATCTCATTGTAACCTACAAATATTTTATTTACGAAAATTCTCAATCTCCTCGCGTTTTCAATCTGGAGGTCCACAAAAATTCGTAAAAGCCCATTTGCTTTCTACTTTAATCATAAGATATCTTGAGCACAAAGTTGAGAAAAATAGTGGCCTTCAAAAATATTGAGCCGTTTGGCCTATATAACCTCCTTATTTTAAAATTTTGGGGGTGTAGGTCACGCCAAACGGCTCAATACTTTTGAAGGCCACCTTTTTTCTCAGCTTTGTGCTCAAGTTATCTTACGATTAAAGTTGAAAGAAAATGGATATTTACGAATTTTTAGTACCTAATTAAATAGACAATGTTTGCCGATCTCTAGATTGAAAATGCCCCAATTCTGAGAATTTTTTTTAAATATTTGTAGGTTACGTTGAGATGAAACTATTTACGAAGTTTCAGCTGAATGTTAATAAATTGATAAAAAGGGGTCTGTACCATAGACTATAATAATGATATAAATATTTCTCCTTGAAAATAGGCAAAATTGTCTGAAAAGTGGTTAAGAAAATTAAAATAAATTGAAGAATGGAGTTGAGGTGTAAGGGTGAAATAAGATATTTTCCTCGAAATTATAAATTTTATTAAAAATATACTGTAAGTTCACTATTTAATATTAAAATAATAATGAAAGATTTATTAAAGTAGAGGGAAATACATAAAAGTAATATAATATAAAGGAAATAGGGAATGTATATCTTACTAAAATAAATATTAAGTTGAGTCATAAATAACTTCTGACACTACTATATAAAATTTATTGTTTGGAGTATTTGTTTTAATGCATAAGAATCTTTACTAAACCAGTCAAAGCTCAGATACCAAGTAAGACGGACTTGTTTAAAGCCAGATCCAGCTATAATATAAAATTTTCTATAATACATTTTTTAGTCTTTATTAAAGTGTGCCATAATGTATTCTGTATGAACATTAACAGCACATAGTAAATTTAAAAATACCATTGGACCCATAAGTACAGTGGTAAGTTATGAAGACTACAACACAATTTTTTATACACAAGAATAAACATTGAAGTTCTCTCACCTACTGTCATTTTCTTCAGTATGCTGATACAATTGATCATCTTTGTCTTTGGTCAGGCCAAAATGAAGCAATACATCCTGTCCTGAATTATTTGTGGTAAAAGTTATGGCAGATTGTAATGAATCGTTTTCCACTTCTACTTCTTGCACAGCATTACTAATATGATCATCCTATAAACATATTTTTACTACAGAAATTAAATATTGGTTCCTTCCAATTACTAGACAAAATTTTATTGTGAAAATAGAAATTATAAAATATTAGTTTCGTAATATGATGTTATAATGCAGAATCTTTGTCACCATTCATTCCCACCTTGGTTTTCTTAATAATTTACTAAACTGGTGAGATAAAATTATTAATTTTTGTACACAATAAAAGACAAAATTTAGAAAGAACCTCCACACTTAGAATTTCTGGAAATATTTAAATCAATGAGGAGTGTCTTGTTCCTATATTTTTTTTTCAAAAACTCAAAACCATATTATTGTTACTTAGGTAGACAAAGTGAGCAAGACATTGCCATTTATTGAGCCAAGTATCATAGCAAATAATATTAACTCCTTTCTGACCAAACCATCCACCATCTCACAAACCAATTTTCCACTCCTTTTCTAAATTTAATGATCATTTTAAGAACCTCTTTGACAATAAACAAATCAACTTCTTTACATAGTAAAACCTTGTTTCACCTGCCTCCCGCAGTGCTACATCCTATGCCCTGAAGACGACTTGCAAAGTGGGTCGAAACGTCGGCAAAAATTAAATTAATACTATATTTTAATTTAGTATTTATTTGACCGCACCCCCCAATTAGCTCTTTCTCATATATTATAATATATTTCAATTTATAAAAACTATGTTATAATATAATACAACAGTTTTTTTCCGTAACGATCTCTTTTCCAGCTCTCAGGAGTTTTTTTTTTTAAATTAAATGGAGCAGTGACGAATCATAGTAACATCCACCCAAAATTTGAGGAAAAAAAGTTATGAATAAAAAGAAAATTTATTTGCGAATTACTTAAAAAGTATGAATTTTTTTCTTGATTAGACCCATGAATATTTGAAAATTTACTAAATTCTCTACAAAACGAAGAAAAGAAATCATGAAAATCGATTAGAAATTCGTAAATTAGAAACAATTAGAAACCAACCCTAGGAGCAAAGTGTGTTTAAATATTATTATAAAGAGAAACAGAGCTGGGATTTCTATTTCACAGCTTGAAAGACCCTTGAATAAAAATTTTCATTGTGATTGAATAATAGAAATTTTTTTTCTACAAATGTGTCCTGAGGCTTTTGAACCTTTGACTTTTATTCGAAAATCACAAAAAGTGTGATAACTTCAATATGCTTCCACCTATTCACATGAAATTTCGCAGGGATACAGAGCCTTGTAACCTACACGAAATGACACTAACTGTACTCCTCTAAATAATTTAGAACTCAATTTATAAAATAAAAATCTGTTAGGAGTTTTTATTCATTTACTCTTTATAGATGTGTTAAATCAAAAAGTTATATATACGCTCTTGAAGAGCGATAATTCAGCTTTCCAACGGTTGTAGAAACATTCAATCAGGATAAAGTTAAGGAGTTATGAATGTTTTAGTTAACGCCAGGCAAAAACACCATAATGAAAAGTGAAGTCGTTGCGATGACGGCGAAAATAATATTGCTGAAATTTTGAAAAACAACACAAAGATGGCATCAAATTGTTTTATATATTAAAAAAACAAAACTATATAACAATTCCATAAATAAATACAATATATATTTTTTCTCACTGGTGTTTTATTTCGCCATATCTTTGTTAGTTCCAATTATCGGACCATCATTTTAAAGATTGTCTAAAAACAAGCCCCAACATCTCAGAAAAACAAACTTAATTTAGCCATAACAGGAAAAGTATGCAATTTATGGTGGATTAACTCCAGAAATAATTAAATTACTAAAAAATTTCCTTTAAAAAAAAAAAATCGAAATTGGACCATTATAAGCAAAGATATAGACTACAGTAAATTTTACAAATGTTTTGGTTTATTTTTATGAATTAACTATTTTAATTTGACCAAGAAAAGGAAAATGTATTCTTCCAACTCATAGTACATTGCATTAACATATTTCCATACTATTCTATCAGATGTTTTATGTCTAATATTTTATGGTATATTCAATTTGGTCAAAGATTTTTTCCTATATTGTTTTTTTATTTTTCCTATTTTTTTTTTTTTAAATAATTTCATATGAGAATCAGTATTGTTCTAAGAACCTAAGAAGCAGAGAGAAATAAAGCACTTAGAGTGAATAACATTTAATTAGAGCTGTAAAACCATGGTAGAGGAAATTATTCAGTTTATTTGAAATTTGTTAATAAAATTTTGTTGAATGAATAGTTATCCTATTAAAATTCTATAATAAAATTATTTCACTAATTTACCTATTAATATTTCAAAAAATAAAAGTAGTTATTTAAATGATTTATAATAGTTATAAAAAAAATAGTGAAAATAAAAATTATGTTTTTTAAAAATCATACCATTTGAGTGCTTGCACTCTTCATATTTTTTGAACTTAATGTTTGATTTTGTTTAGTAATTTGGGAATTTTGAATAGGTGTTTGAAAGGAATAATTATGATCACCATGAGTCGCTGTATCAGCATTAGGCTGCATCTAGAAAAATGAAATGATATTAATAGTAATACAAAAATTAGAAGAAAGAAAGAAAGAAAAGAAAAGTTTAATTTTCTAGTCACATCCTTCGGGTTTGGTGCCATTTTCTCATAATTTATCATATGTCTATTTTAGGCCATAGGTCACCAAAAAAACACCGTTTTTTAAATTATTTCCTGTATGTTTATTCAACGTTTCGGCTTCAGGAGCCATTTTCAAGAACCTGCAAAACTAAATTTTTAATTTATTTTTTACCTTTCAAGTATAGCCTCAGACAATAAACTTGTATCATCCACCTAGCATGCACGGCGCCATAAAATTTTTAAAATTTGTCATTACAATATGGTTCGTCCTAATTCATTCTTTTATTTCAAAGAATGTCGTTTTCCGTTTCTAAAAATTATAATATATAATTAATAAATTAAAAATAGACTGCTATAATTAATTTAAAAAATTTTTAATTTTCGATTTATATACCTCTATTTGCAGACGGTATCAAGAAAGTATTGTTCTTCAATAGGGCATTCATACAGGACTGGATTTACTTACATAAGGAGTGGGGTGGAGGGGTTAGTGATCAGTTGTTTTATATCAGTATGTTATATATTAATTTTGTCAATTGTGCTAGCATAAAACGTGTTTAAATTATCAACATCTGTCTGTTGATTCACTGAATGTTTTAGATTTTTAGTGATAAAAATGGATTCAATGATTCTACGTTTCCCAATATTTTGTTCTCTATGCAACAACACGGAAGCAGTACCGAAATCAAATTTATGTCCATTTTTTGTGGTATGCTGCGATAATCCTGTGGCTAATTTTGATTTAGTCGTTTTAGACCTGCAATTTTGTCTATATTGCTGTATCCTACGTTCAAACCATTGTGAGGTTTGTCCGTAATATGCTTTATTTTCACAATCCTCGCATCGTATTTTATGAACAATATTAGTTAGTTTTTCTTTTGGAATAATATCCTTAGTTCTACTATATAATTTATCTAAGGCCTGAACTATATTATTACTATATTATTAACTATACTATATACTATATTATCAACTATACTATATACTATATTATTTATCTAAGGCCTGAACTTCAGGTCGAAACGTAATAACGTAATAAATATTAATATTTATTTTTTACATATGCCGACGTTTCGACCTGAAGTTCAGGCCTTAGATAAATAATATAGTATATAGTATAGTTGATAATATAGTATATAGTATAGTTAATAATATAGTAATAATATAGTTCAGGCCTTAGATAAATAATGTAGTAGAACTAAGGATATTATTCCAAAAGAAAAACTAACTAATATTGTTCATAAAATACGATGCGAGGATTGTGAAAATAAAGCATATTACGGACAAACCTCACAATGGTTTGAACGTAGGATACAGCAACATAGACAAAATTGCAGGTCTAAAACGACTAAATCAAAATTAGCCACAGGATTATCGCAGCATACCACAAAAAATGGACATAAATTTGATTTCGGTACTGCTTCCGTGTTGTTGCATAGAGAACAAAATATTGGGAAACGTAGAATCATTGAATCCATTTTTATCACTAAAAATCTAAAACATTCAGTGAATCAACAGACAGATGTTGATAATTTAAACACGTTTTATGCTAGCACAATTGACAAAATTAATATATAACATACTGATATAAAACAACTGATCACTAACCCCTCCACCCCACTCCTTATGTAAGTAAATCCAGTCCTGTATGAATGCCCTATTGAAGAACAATACTTTCTTGATACCGTCTGCAAATAGAGGTATATAAATCGAAAATTAAAAATTTTTTAAATTAATTATAGCAGTCTATTTTTAATTTATTAATTATATATTATAATTTTTAGAAATGGAAAACGACATTCTTTGAAATAAAAGAATGAATTAGGACGAACCATATCGTAATGACAAATTTTAAAAATTTTATGGCGCGGTGCATGGTAGGTGGATGATACAAGTTTATTGTCTGAGGCTATACTTGAATGGTAAAAAATAAATTAAAAATTTAGTTTTGCAGGTTCTTGAAAATGGCTCCTGAAGCCGAAACGTTGAATAAACATACAGGAAATAAATTAAAAAACTGTGTTTTTTTGGTGACCTATGGCCTAAAATAGACATATGTTAAATTATAAGAAAAGTTTATTCTGGGACAGTAAGTCCATTAAGAATAACTACAATGAACAATGAAGTAATAATTGTCTGCCATTAGAAAAATTAACAATAAATTAAATTACAAAATTATCTAAATCTAAAATTAAAATGAAGTAAAGGCACCAATAGAGTAGACATGAAATTATAGATAAATACATATGTGCGAGTTCACATAAGCAATATAGATGATAAATAATTATCTGTAAGATAACATTAAAATGTAGCTGACAGCTCTGAAAAATGTAAACATTATTTTTACATATATTCGAAAGATGGATTGCTGAGCAGATAGAAAAAATAAATGATGTTTAAATACGATCAAGGATGAGGATTTACGTATGGATGTTGTTAGGGAATTCCAGAACAACGTACCACTCATGACGAGAGATTTTTTAAAAGAAAAGATTCTATGAGAAGAAATAAACAGGATTGACGGCTGGGATTTCGTGTTTAACAAATGAAAAGAAGAACAAGGAATGAATAAATCGAGATGGTAAGAAAGTTGTTTGGTACAAAAGGTTCAAAAAGGGAATACACCCAGGAAATATTGCCGTCGGAAGACTGGATATAGCCAGTTCAACTCAGCATAACAACTAGAGACATGGGAGTGTCTAGGGACTCCAAAGATAAAAATAATGAAACAATTCATTGGTATCTTTAATCTGATTTCAAGCCCACCAGCCAGTCTACCGTATACAAGGAAGCCATAATCGAAGTGAGGGAAAATGAGAGAGGAAACTAGGAACTGATGGATTTTAAGGGACATCACAGAATCTTAAGAACTGCTTCAGTGTAGCAATGGATTTTCAGATTATTAGGAAAATATAATTATTCCAGGACAGATATTAATCAAACATTAACCTAAGGTTTCTAACGGAAGTGTGGAAACGGATAGGTAAATCATTGAGCTAGAGTGGGAGTAATAGGGAATGAAATTAATCAGATACTAGGAACCAATGAGAATGGCTTTGGTCTTCTCAAGATTCAACTTTAAATCATTGCTCACTGCCCAAGTATTAATACTGTCAATGTCTTCTTATTGTCTTCAGATTGCCTCAAACATCTCGGTAGGATGGAAGGAAAGGTAGATTTAGAGAATGTCAGCATAGAAGTGATATTGTGAATAATGGATCAGAAAGGTCGTTGATGTAGATGGAGAAAAGAGTTGGAGAGGGCGAAGATCCCTGAGGAACACTGCGAGTTAGTAAGAGGGGGCAGGAAGGAGTTTTAATAGATATGATGATAGATTGGGGTCTTTGTTACAAAAATTCCTAGTTTCCTTATTTATAACCCTTAATTTACTATCATAAAAGAGAGTAAATATTTCAGTAGGAGTTGTTTATATGATCACTAAAGGCAGGGATCCCTATATGATGATAGAAAAAGAAAATAAACCTTAAATATTCTATTTAAAAATCACCAAATTTTGTTAGTCAGTAAGATTGTTTATGAAATCAAATGAAAAGTACTCCTGTTTAATAGAGTATAGACTTCACAGAACGAGTTCTCTCTTGGACCAATCATAACTACAGAGAGGTAGAAACATATTAAAAGTTATCTACCTAATAATATAAAATTATAACAATCAAATACAAAGCTAGAAACCAGAAATAAGATACTGGTTTTAAATGGTCCATTTCTATGTCCATATAGAGCATTATTTAATAAATAATAGATTTATTGAAAAATAATATTTTTAGATGAATTGATTGGTTTATTACCTAAGTATTCTAAATTTAACACAAACTCATAATTATTAAATAAATCAACTTGTAACACTGTTTATAGCTTCTAATAATTAAAATTTGGTCAATTTCCTAGGTCTCTACAACCAGATATTTATAATGGTTAGGATGACAAGGAGAAACTAGCTTTTCAAAATAATTGACGTAGAAAAAAAAAATTATCTAACTTATATATAAATAAATCTCAAAAAACAAAAAAACCTGTCACATACTCTATTAAACTAAACATGAATGTAACCGTCAAACCAAACACTTATGAATCTGTAAGAAATACAACAAAAATTACAGTACACAAAATGTTTAAAAAAATTAATGATGAATATGAATTAATAACATAAGAAGTAAAATAAGAAACCTGGACTTTATATTGATGTAGTCTAGCATCATCATTGTCATGTTGACTAACGATTTGAATTGCAGCTGCTTGCACTAAGCTGCTAAGACTATCTATACTAACAGGGACAGGAATAGAAGTCAATGTTTGGGGTTTAGAGGACACTTTTAATGGTGTAGCAGGTTGCAATTGAACATGGATTTCTTGAGTAGGCAAGGCAGCAGGAACAACATCCAGTCTATTAATTGAGTCATCTTCAAAACCATCTTTGCTATAAGATACATCCCTAACATAAACCTGCAACAATATAGACATAAAAATAATTTCAAATTTAATACAATTGCTATGTTTACTGAACAATATTAGAAATACCTTTCCTTCCTTCTTAAAATCACTGTTAAATCTTAATGCTGTAGCATAACTTTCCAACATCCCTTCAGCTTTGACACAGGATGTCCTAAAGTCAAAAAAACCTTCCAGTTTTTCTAAACACAAGTTACAGATAATTTTGGGCAATGAATCTTCCTCACTGACCTGAAAATAACTTAATATTTAATATTTGTCGAACCAAAAACCACAGCACCTTACAATAGAAACAATACTTGAAGTCTGAGACAAGCTTGTATCTTGGTAGTTAATTGTAGCTTTCTTCCTTCATCTTTAAAAATGTGGGTTTTATTTCCTTCACTTGAGGTACACAGTCGGCATAATTCATAATAATTAACTCTTCTGTAACCGGACATTTCTATCAGCATTATTTATGATTGCAAAATTAAGACATTCTGTACGATCTGTTTTCAAAAAATGTAAATACTACAGATAACCTGCCCAAGAAACAATCCAGTGTTACCAGGTATTAATAAGTTTCAACTAATACAATATCTTTGATATCTTCTTAAATTCAATTCCATTGATTATTAATTATTAACTTGTTTTATGTAAACTAATATTCAATAAAAATAACAAATCAAAAATAAAAGTATTATCAATACTTTATTTATATCATAAAACGATTCCTAAACTAATTGTGTTCTATAGAAATACAAAAAGAATGTTTAAGAATAAAGTTCCTTTAACCACATACTATTTGGCTTTTAGTAAAATAGTGTGTATTTCTGTAGGCAAATTTAAATTGAAGTGTATATAAGAGACCTACCTAATCAGAAATTAAAAGACATCACTGTTAACTTTATTAAGAATTAAATATTTCTCCCCCTCCGAATGTCAAAAACTAGATAGACACCCCAGCTTTTTCTTAATAACTTTTGACTAGTTTCAATTCTGTACAAAAATATTGCAGAGATAACTTCTTGTAGTAATGAATCACGGATGAGGAACATTTTAAAGTGTGCTTTTTTATAAATAATATATTGCTGAAACCGGTATTAGCTGAGTCATTTCTATTTGGTAACTGTTTATGAAATTAAACTATTTTAAGGAAACTGAATGTTTTACAATAAATCTGGAATTATAAACCATTGTTTTAGATGAACAGCTTTCTATCTCGTTCTAGGTAATATTCACGCAAATATCACTGAGAAACTTATTTATGATTTTTAAACTGATATTTTTTTAAATTTTATGTCGTCTATGTTTTTTAAAATAGCTGAAATATAATGTCTCTTTCTCCTTCAATATAACGGATAACAGCTTTCATTCAATGTCAAAATAGGGAAAATGAAATTGCAAGACAAAAAGGTAAAAATGAAAACATAGTTAAACGATGAAGTGACACATGGAGGTCCTGAACTTATAAAAAAAAATATTGTTCTTCCCGATGAACTTCATTCTGTTCATAATATAGTTCTTATATTACCAAAGTTACTAAAATAAAAGTACTATGACGCCATTTTCACTGTCCTGGGCTATCTGTTCACAGGGGATACCCCCTTGCCTTCGCCTCCACTCCCAGTTCGACGCCAACCCTTATTCGTGAGGCCAGTTCGTAGTGCTACGTAGGCGGCGCTCGCCCTACATTCTAGTTACGATCTTTTTTGTTTTGGACTTTTTTCTTAAGGATCTTAAGTGTATTAGTTTAATTACCAATTTCACTACAATAAGTTTTCCCCTTCAGCTTTATTACTGTAACTATAGCAACATGTCAAAGAAAAGCTGTTCAAGTACTTCGACTGTAAGGAGTATCCAAAATGGCGTGGAAAGGGTGTGCTTATAGGATGTCTTTGCCTTTACCTACAGTTTTGAAAAGAAACAGTTAAAGGTGACAATGGTTTGATGACTTAGAAAATCAAACACTTAAGAAGATCAGATACATGGAAGTGATTTGTGTGTAACTACCAGTAACCTTGCATCCTGATTAATATTTTTTTATTACTTTTTGTAAGAATGAACAGTCCTGCTTTGAAGAATTATGAAGAACTCTGCAGATTATGTGCTTCATATGATGCCATCAAGATTCCTATTTTCAGTGATCGTGGTAGAGAAAGAAACCTCAAAGATAAAATCACTACTTGCCTGCCATTTGATGTAAGCAATGTATTATGTTTGAATATTGAAACCAGCACTTCTAAAATGTTCACTATATTGACATTGCTTGAGCATGGCAGTTCAAATCATAGGTTGTGTTAATTGTATTATTGTTTTATCCATTTCAGTGAAATTTATCTGCTTAATCTGATGTGAGTGAGGAGTTACTACATTTTAAAGTATATGGTAAATTGTGATTGTACTTTACAGGTTTCTGAAGATGATTTGTTACCAAAGTCACTATGTTACCGTTGTATTTATAATTTGGAGAATTTTTATGACTTCCGCCGTGGGTGCATTGATGCTAGAACCAGACTAGAAAACGTTATAAAAGAAGTTTTGAAGCATGAACCAAAGGTTTGAATTCAATTAATTATAACCTTAACTTTTCTTTGATTGACTCTACTGATCTTGTTTTGTTTTTCATGCCTAAATGAAAAAATATCAAGCACAGTTTGTTTTCATAGCAACTACTTTATAATGAAGTTTCCTCCTTCGGTTGAGTTTTATATAAGTCAAATTTTTTTACAGGAAGAAGGTACTTGTGTTAAGATAGAGGATATTAAAGAAAGGAATGTAGATGTGAGTATATATCATATATTTGTTTTTATTAAATACTTTTGCTAAGCAAGAAACAACATGAAATAGGTATAAAGTTTATGGTTAAATCATTAAGGTATTTTTGGTTCCTTTTTGTATAATTCCTTTTGTACATTTCAGAATATTAGTTAATTGATTTTGTATTTGAATTCTTGTGACTTGATTTCTGTAGTTAAAAGTCTTAAGACATAATTAAATATTTGTTCAAGTGTTGTTGAGTATATCTTATGGAAGCTAACATATGTTTAATGATAAAATTTAAGAAAAATACTATAAACTCATTAAATACAAGTTTTTTTAATGTAGCTACTTTGGAAGAAATAAGTAAAACTCAAAAATAAAAGGTTTCCTAGTTTTCTGCAATTTTAATAATTTTGATTTTAATTATGGACTGTGGCACATTTTAATCAAATTAATTGTGCTGCTTTTCTTCTCAAGTACTGATTTGTGAACGTGTTAAATTAGGATAAAAAATCTGGAACATAGGGGATTTAGTATAACAAAGGTGTACAAAAATGGCTGCTACGTAGGATCAGTATTTCTTCTCTATTTTTATTGATTCGATAATTACATTAATTTCAATTTCTTTGATTTATTTATTAAAATGAAATCTAAGAGAAGAGCAGTTTTATTAGTCTAAATTTTCCTTAGGAAAAATGCATGCTTAAAACCAGATATCTACGTAGATCATGTAGGTATTCACCCACATAATAGAATTGACTGATATAGATGTTATCTTATTAAACAGATTCAACTTCAAAAAGCTTTGCAGTTTAAAAACTTAATTAATCTTCTATTGCAGATGTTTACTGCTTACCAAAAATACATTCCTTATAATTACTTAATTTTAATTGTTAAATGGAAATTGATTTTAAACCATTTGTGTAATATTTTCTCCGACCTTTCGCTATATTCAATAAGCTGTTTTCGAAATATAGGTTTAGGAAAATATTTTTGCGGAAGTAGGGGTTAGAATATGATAAAATTGGTATTGGATCATTTCTTCCGTGAGCTAAAAGTTGTTTGAATCCTTCAAATGAATAACTTTTGTTTCTTGGTTGTGAGGAAAAAACAAAAATTATTACTTGAAAGATGATTAGACTCTCTATAGAACATGTTAAAAAAAAAATCATCAAAATTTAACTAGTATTAACAACTACATGGTTAATTAAAATATTTGTGTTAATGCTTCCATTGAAGCTCATTCAATTGTCCAGCACAACTAGGTAAAAATGTGTATCTTAATCTGATAAAATTTTAGGTATGAGGAAGGTACAGTAATTGTATCAAATTTTTTAACTAATATCCATGTTTTTAAAAGTATAATGCACAGGTTTCTATGAAAGCCTGTTTAATGTTTTGTTTCACCAAAAATTATTATTCTCTTAAAAATAAAAAAACTTAAGATAGACATTTGAAACTTGATTATCAAATTGTATAATTTTTTTTAAATTAGTAAGAAGGTCATTTTAGACACATGGGATATTTTTTTCCTTTTATTTATCCATCTATGTAATAAATAGTAAGGGAAAGTATTATGATCGAGAAAATTTTTAAATATGATTTTTCAATTGAATATATGGGATGAAATACATTCAGTGGAATTTGCTGGTGGGTAGAGGAGAGAGATGTGCAGTGGCCAAACATTTTTCCACCGATCCCCCACTGTTATGTCTTTTGTCTTCTCTACTCATTTGTCTTCAGGCTGAAGCCCTCCCAAAATTAAATCCTGGATCCACTAGTGCTTCTCCTACAGGCAAACTCATCTTGAATACACTTAACTAAGTTTTACTTGGTTACTGTCAATATACTAAATATTAAGTCTAAAAATATGGCTATAGTTAGTAAAACACTCTTAAAATTTTAGGTTATAAAATTATATGTTTAAGAAGCTAGTATGAATGTCACCTCATTCTTGGTGTCACAACTATTGGATTTATAATCCTGTCTTATTTGTACTTATAATAAGGTTAACAGTATGTCAACATTAAACTAATAGATGGAGGTACAGATCTCTTTTATCAAATTATTAACATCTGCCTAAAACGTTGTGCATGGTTTTTTCTTACTAAAATCTTACAACTTTTTTATCCAATGAAATTATAAGAAATGGAGCGTTTTCTCATGTAATTGATTAAATGAATGAGGTACTACAAGCTCATTAATACCCATTTGCTTTTCATTTGAGTGGTAAGATAATTTAGTCATGAAATTAAAAAAAAAAAAAATTAGCCTACAAATTCTCGTTATTTTGATATGTTAAGGATGGAAGTCACTCCAAATGAGCCGATATTTTTGTAGGCTACCTCTTTTGTTGATTTTATGATCAAATTATCTTATGATTCAATTGGAAAGCAAATAGGTATTCATGGACTTTTAGTACCTCATTAAACAGACAAAGTTTAATCATCTCCAGATTAAAAATGCCCCATTTCCAAGAATTTTCATAAATAAAAAAATGTGTTGCTTACATTAAGATGAAGCCATTCAGAAAGTTCTAGACACATGTTAATAATTTTATCAAAATGGGTCCAACACTTTTACTTAAACTCAGTGTATTAATGTATAATTTAGTGGTCTTTAGTATCATTTAGGTCTTATCTCCATTGATGTTGCTTAATTTGGCCGAATATTCTAAATTTCTTCCTTTAAAGTATCTTTAATTTGGTTCATTTTAAATAATTAAATATCTCTCATTGTAAGCAGTTGTGAGAAAAGGCTAAATATAACTTTTAACGGAGTTAGATGATTGAATAATGGAGAAAAAAAAGGAAAAATGTTCATTTAGTTTAAAAATGAATCTCCGGAAATAATTGTCAAAAGGTATACATATAATATATTGTTGGAAAGAGGAGAATTTCAGAAAAAAATCTAATAAAGAAAGTCGTAGAAAGTAAAGGAGTATGAGGAAAAAATTATAAATAATAATAATTATAGAAAATCATAATAATCATAATTATTGAAAACTAATATTATTTAATGAAAATCACATGTTTCCAAGGAAATTAAATTAAATTTCCTAACTAAATGTAAACATTTAAAATTAGTTTTAGGTTTGAAAAAAAGTATGTAAAATGATCCACCCAATGATGGCAATGACAACAACAACACTATTCAAAACACTATTTCATTGTACTTGTTGTCAAAGAAGTGAAATATAAAAATATTCCATGGATGTGAAAAAACATTTGTTAATACATCCTTAAATATAATACATTTACTGTAGTTTCATAACTCTAGATCCGATATTATATTCAAATAATTAGGTGTCTATCGCCTGTTTAGTATAAAAAATCATAATGTAAACTTTTAGAAAATTAAATTAGTGAATAATTTGATGAATTTTTCCTGTGTGAAATCCCAACATTTTTCACTTACAATTAGCGCGACAGCTTTTGACCTATTTATTGCAGGCAATGAAAATCTCTTAATTCCATTTTAGTAAAGAACGATGGAAAATAAAGACTTTAATAACCAATAGTCATACAATCCATGATCATTTGCAGGTTAAATATACAGATGTACTTTCAAATCTCTCTAGCCATATATAGTTCAGAGACTGGCGTTATTGGGTTTATAAAAACAGATGGAGTTACGAAGTATTTTTTTGTCTATCATCGATATAATAAAAAAGGGTTTGCGTTTTTTAATGGCCTTAATGAGTTGTTATAGGTTAGCAGTAAGCTTTAAGGTTTATCTCTGTTAAAAACTCGCTTCAAAAACTTTGTAATAGTCAAATATTGTCAGAAAATAATTTCTATTCAAAGTAAAGAGGTAAGTGAAAGTTGTGCGGTGCACGCAGCAGATTTTTTATTAGATCTAATTTTATAATCAGTATAATTTTAGTTCCAAGTATCTGCACATATTGATTTGTGTTATGATGAGATCACATCATTTTTTTTTCTAGTTAATATTTTGTTTATTTGTTGAAATATTTTTATTCATGTTTGCCACATGTTTGATTAAAGTTTTGAACTCAGTATTGTTTATTTTTTTAGGATGAGCACCAAATAGAAGATGATCTAATTGAATCTGATGGTGAAGGAGATTGCCCCAATCCTGCTGATTTTTTAGAAGCTTGTTTGGTAATTATGATTCACTTTTTAGTTAATTTAATTGTCCATTATTAATAAACATCTTGAATTTTTCCTTAATGATGAAATCATTAATTTCTGTTTAGATTTCAACATATTCAATTCACTTATCCTCATTCTAACTGCATAGCATTTTTTCAGAGTACTTATTTATTTCAGGGTGAATCACCTCATAATCCTAAGCCTGGAGATGAAGAAGAAGGATCTTATTCTTGCAGGATTTGTGATAGGCAATTTAATTCAAAAAGTTCTCTTACAATACATTTAAAGTTAGTTTATTTATTTTATTTTGTTAAATTAGTTAGTTCCTAAAATTAGAATATCTTAAAAATATCATAATATATCTTTTGTAGGTTTCATCAAGACAGCATTGGTCAAGAAAGTGATAAAGAAAATTATGCTTGCTATGTTTGTGAAAAAGTATTTTCAAGTAAAGGTCATTTGGCACTTCACTCAAAAGTTCATATTGGAGAGACAAGTTCACCAGCAGTGTCCAATTCTAGCAGATCAAGTCCACAACATCTCCACAAAGCAAACATTAAGTAATATGTTGTAATTAATTGATCTTGATCAGAATTAAATTTAAAAAGTTTTCTCGACCCACGTTCAAAATGTTATGTTCAAATATTCATTAGGAGAGCTCTATTATAGCCCATACCATCTGAAAATAACCATATATTTGACATATAGCTGTAGTATGAGTACGACGTTGAAACAATTTGTACTGACAGGAGGAAAGTGGGTGCAAATATTTTTTTCATGGGAAAACAGAGTTGAGATTTATATTTCGTACCTCTTTAAAGCCTCGATAGGTAAACATAGTCAGAGGGGGAGGGAGCTAACATTTCTGTTTGTAGAATGTAAATAGGTAATTATTTACGAACGGTCCTCCACTCGCCATCTTGGTTGAACTGGTATTATGTCCCGTGTTCTGATAACGTTTACGAAATCTAGCACCAGAAAGCGCCACTATTGCGGAGGGTTTGTCTTGTCCCCTCCACCTTACGTTCATTACAAATAATTACCAATTGTAACCTTTACAATATATAATGCCCACAATTTTTTTTAACTTGTCGATTACTTTGTATCTTCATTATATCGATTAACCAAACTTTATATTTCAGATGTTATTATTTACACATATTACCTACATCAATTTTTTTTACCATTATATATTACTAATATTATTTATAATTGTAGTGTTTATATATTGCCCGTTTTTGTTTTTTTAGCTTCGAGATTCATCATTATTAATGCTTTTCGCTTTCCTTATCATAAATGAAAGAAGTTTATTAACTTAAGTTTTGTTTTAATTGTGACACTTTATCTCTAATTGTACATTATCCAAGTATGTCCAATATTAATACAATTCAGGAAGAATTAAACAATTTTCTATAAGGGTTTTGATGCTGGATAAGGGTTATACTTATCAATTATATGTTACTTAAATCTTCTAGCAAGAAGAATTAAACAATTTTCTATAATGCTTTTGATGCTGGATAAGGGTTATATTTTTCAATTATATGTTACTTAAATCTTCTAGCAATAAAACACATTTTCAGTCTACTCAGGTACATACTCGCAATACCAGATGACCAGTTATCCCTAGCCATTTCCATTTATAAAGTGCATTTCAATTTTTTTCTTCCAAAGGAAGTGTCTTGTGTGTTAATTAGATCTTTTTAATTGAATATTTTATTCACGAATAACTGTCCGTTTAAAATAAATATATTTGTTTGCACAAAAGAATAAGGTATTCTAGGTTACTTTTCCTTGGTCAATTTGATCATTACTGGTGGTAATTTATCCTTATTTGGAAAATAAGTCATTCTCAATAGTTAAATTATTTACAGTCTTGAAATACATATAGGGAAACCTTAGGAAGAAATTAATAAACTCATTAAACAATGTCTGGAAAGTTTGAGGCTGGAAGCCAAAACATGAGATGAAGTAAAACCTAAATCTTTCATAGGTCTATACTTCATTTATATAACTAAGGGACATTTTACATTTTATGAAGAAGAAGGTAATGAGTTACGTCTGGCGGAATACACATGATGAAGATAACTTACACTTTCTTGCCTAATAAATCATTCTGACAGGATTCAGAAAAATTAATGAGACAATACAATATAAAAGTAGATATAGATAATGTAAGTAGACATCAATGGAAATGGCTAGGGATAACTGGTCATCTGGTATTGCCAGTATATACCTGAGTAGACTGAAAATGTGTTTTATTGCTAGAAGATTTAAGTAACATATAATTGAAAAATATAACCCTTATCCAGCATCAAAAGCATTATAGAAAATTGTTTAATTCTTCTTGCTAGAAGATTTAAGTAACATATAATTGATAAGTATAACCCTTATCCAGCATCAAAACCCTTATAGAAAATTGTTTAATTCTTCCTGAATTGTATTAATATTGGACATACTTAGATAATGTACAATTAGAGATAAAGTGTCACAATTAAAACAAAACTTAAGTTAATAAACTTCTTTCATTTATGATAAGGAAAGTGAAAAGCATTAATAATGCTGAATCTCGAAGCTAAAAAAACAAAAACGGGCAATATATAAACACTACAATTATAAATAATATTAGTATAATATTATATAATATAACAATAGTATAATATAACAATATAATACTTGATAAGAGATAGTTCATGCATTTCATACTATCGACATAGGAATTTCAATACATACATTTCTTTTATTTATTCAATTATAATTAACTGTTTATTTTTATATGTATATTCAAGTAAAATTTTATTTTTTTATGAAATGAACACATTCTAACTTTATAGTTTTGTTTATAGTTCAAGTGATATGTTCATAGTTTTAATTGTTTTGTTTATAATTTTAAATGCTCTGTACATAGTTTTATCTGTATTGTATATAGCTTGCGCACCTAAGGTTTTCTTTACTTTTTATTTTATTTTATCAGTTTTATTTATTGTTTCAAACGTTTAGGCCAGTAATATTCTATTATTTTGTACATTATTGTTATTCTGAAGGGACTTAGTCCCAGAATAAAGTTTTTTTTCTATATATCTATCTAAAAGTAGATACAGATAATGTAAGTAGACAGCAATGGAAATGGCTAGGGATAACTGGTCAAATAATTTAAATTGGATTGGAGATTAAGACAATTTAGAAATTATAATAACCAAATGTGAATAATTGAGATGCATAGGTAAAAATATATTCAAAAGCATCTGTTATAAATGTTACAGGCTCAAGTTGACATAATTTAGCTAATGTTTGAAAAAGATTACTGCTTAACTAAATACCTCTTGGAGCATTGCGTTTTATATATATATATACAGGTTGCTAAGATACTTGTCTATCATACAGATACGATGATTGGCATAGTTAATTATGTAGAAAATGTACGGTTCCAAGGGGAATATACAAGGGACCAATCGCTAAGAACTCGTAATGTTGCTGACAAGTTCAGATTTAAAGGAATGTCAGTAGTGTTTTCTTCTTTGATTATTTTAAATTAAATGAATCGCTAGAGCTCTCCTACATGATCCTGAAACATTTCCCTTAGAATCTGGTAATGTCAGTATGTACCTCAGTAGACTGAAAATGTGTTTTATTGCTAGAAGATTTAAGTAACATATAAATGAAAAACATAACCCTTATCCAGCATTAAAACACTTATAGAAAATTGTAAATTTTTTAGTACATACAATCTAAAATATAGCATGGTCAAGCATAAAGTATTTAAAAATTGAATATATACAATCTAAATATCTAAAATATACAATGATCAACCATAAAATATTTAAAAATTTAAGTTAATGAAGTTGTTTAATGTTAAACAAATTGTTTAAGACAGTATGCTGCACATTAGACTGAAAATGTGACAGAATATATCTAAAAAGTATAAGCATAAATATATTATGTGGATATATAAAAAGTATAAGCATAAAAATATTATGTGGATAAGATGGAAATGGGTGTTCAATCGATGCTTATTTAATGGTGGGTAAGGATGGTGGTTTAATTTAAAAAAAGGCGGGTAATATATAACCTAAATGATCTAATTTCTATATTTACTGAAAACAGAGGTAAGGTGGAGGGGACAAGACAACCCCTCCGCAATAGTGGCGCTTTCTGGTGCTAGATTTCGTAAACATTATCAGAACACGGGACATAATACCAGTTCAACCAAGATGGCGAGTGGAGGACCGTTCGTAAATAATTACCTGTAAATAATTTGCTGACTAAATATTTCAGATGTGTACAATATTTGCGTTGTTTCTTATGGTTACAGAATTTTGGGGGCAGGGTGGCCGAATGGGCTAAAGCGTGTGCACTGCACTGCAAGTTGCCTGGCAACCGGATAAGAGATTTGAGAAGATTTAAAAAGTATGAGTTCGCATCCCAGTACGAGAGGGGATTTTAAATTCCCCGCCCTCACCCTCAGGCCCAGGAAAATCCCGTATAGCCTAAAAGGTGGGGTAGGGAAGAACAAATAAAAAAAAAATATGGTTACAGAATTGTGACTATTGGCTAGTAATGAAATAAACATAAGCAAGAAGTACCAATCAATATAAATATAACATAGTTTGATTAAAGGTATACAATAATTAGCCAAATAGTATTTTATAATAAAGACAATTGTAATACTATTTGGCTTACCATTGTATACCTTTAATCAAACTAAAGGTATATAATGGTTAGCCAAATAAAACTTTTTTTTTAAAAAAAAAAGACCGTCCTGAATATTTATCACCCATGATCGACTAGCTTCCTTCAATAATTCGGAAATAAATACAGATTTCAAAAGAAAAATGAACTTTTTCAAAAACTTAATTAGAAAATAAAATGTATATCTATACAGAGTAAAACAAAAAATAAATTACTCAAATTATTCCCCTTTTCCCTTGACAAAGGCATTTAATCTCCGTGGCCAGTTATCAATAGCAGCACAAAGCACTTTTTGAGGAAAGCGCTCAACTACTCGGACCAGAATTTGTTTGAGGCTTTCCAATTTAGGGCGTGCTCTATAGTATGCCATCCTCTCCAATTCGGACCAAAGCCGATAATCTAGTGGATTCAGATCAGGGCTTCCTGAGCGCCAATCCGAGGCAGAGATGAACTCTGGAATGTTCTTTTGTTGCCACTGCTAAATTGACCTGGCCCTGTGTGCTGGAGCGGAATCCTACTAAAAAATCCAATGGCTTCCATCAGAGTATCGTTTAGAGGCTTAACAACTGGTTCCAAAATATCGCAAATCTGCTAATGTCAATGTATACTTGGGAATATCCTTATACATTAGAATCCCATTAATTCTTATTATTAATGGGCCGAGAATGAAATACTAATTATTGAGATATCAAATAATGGGCAGTAAACATAAAAAATAATATAACAAAATGTATTACTGTAAATATAATAAGGATGTAGGCAGAATAGCGAACATTAACTTTTACTTGTGAAAAAAAAATCAGTTATTTTCTTTTGATGTAATTCTTGAAAACGGGTCCTGTCTATAACTTTGTCAGGGTTGTTTAGGGCAGTGAATACATCTACAACTACAATCAATGTCAATGGCACACTTTAATGTATTGCTTTGCCATTTTTAGAACAATTGACGGCATATCCTCTTCATCTTCCCCATCAACGAGGATGTCCTCAAATGAAGCTAAAGTTTCTTCTTCAGTTAATATTCTTGCTACTGCTTAATCATCATCAAAAGGGAGAAAATCTTTGAATGTTATATGAGTTTCTTCTTTTTGAGAAACACGTTCCATACGAGAGGAAACTCTGAATTATTAAAATTTTTGAAAAACAATTTCTAATTGTACTATCACTGACTTTTTGCCACACTTTATCACCAATGACTGAAAATAAGATGATTTTAAGCTCTTTTCCATCCTAGATGCTGTCAAGGCGTTGCATCACAACTTCCTTCTGGTAAAAGGTCTTAAATGTTTTAATTATATCCTAGTCTAGAGGCTGCAGCTTACAGATAGTGTTGGCAGGAAAAACATTTTTCCCAGAGAAATTTTCAAAATCAGTCTGAAACATAACATCAAGTTCGACAAAAAGAAACCTCGAGAATAGAAAAAAAGGTAAAATACGGAAATTTGTTGAAACAGTAATCTCTCACTCATTCTCTTCTCTTAAAAGGATTAAGACCGAATCAATGTTTTATAAAATTCCAAGTATGAGGCATTAAAAATTCTTTGAATACAAAAATAAATATGAATTATCAAGAGAACCAAATTACATTGTTTTTACATGAATTAGAGGAAAAATTTAGAAGGATCGGCAAATCCATAATAATTATTGGGAAGTACGAATTATCACGATTCTGCTTAATTTAAACATTTGTGTTTAAGGTCCTCAAATATTATTTTCATGCAGGTAGTTTTATCATGAACCCACTTCCCTTAGTCATAAATTGTATTTCACTTTATCACTCTCTTTGTCTCAGAATGTAAGTTTAAGGCAACTTTTCTGAAATATGGCTATTTCAATATCCTATCACTAAAAAATATGATGTCCATCAATGCAGAAAGCAGTCCATTCCTTTCCTGATACTCTGTGCCTGAACAATTATTACCGATCTCTCTATACCAAATATTGCACTTACTTTTCATTAAAAAATCCTCCAATAACCTCGGAAAACTTCTTGCCTTGTTGAGATATCCTAACTGCTGTACTAAAACTTCTTACATTCCATGTGCCTAAGCCTATATTCCTAATTTTCAACTTTCACCATGAATCCTTTAAAGCAGTCACCCATTGGAGATCTGAATGGAGGCTAATGGACTTTCAGTTTATTACCGTTTTTCTTGGGGAAATCCATGATCACTTATAGTATTTTGTTTTCTAAAAAGATATTAATAGGGTACTCGATCCTATGAACGGCACCCTCCTGCAAACCTGGGGAGCCAATCTCATTGTTGGTTGGCTGGGAGGAATTCTACTGATACCCTCTTAACATCTGCCATCTGTGGGATAGTTGTAAGGTGAAAGAAAAAAAGAGATACCCAACCTTAATCATTGGGGATTCTAATCTGAAAATGTGATAATCTGTCCTAATGTTAGTTCACACTTTATTAATTAATAACAATTATCAGGTGTTTGCTAATAATATATATATATTTTTTTTAGGCTTTATCGTTGTGACCTGTGCAACAAATCTTATTCAATGGCTAAACATCTATGGGGTCATGTGAGTACTACTCATAAAGGCCATCCAATGGTTACATGTGGTTTATGTCAGCGAACATTTTCTTCGGTTTCTAACCTTGAAGATCACAAACGTGTTAAACATAAGGATGAAAGCAATACAGAGCTTGTAAGTGGTTTTTGAATTATTTTGTTTCTATTAGGTTCAAATGAAGTATCAATAAGAATAAAAACTTATCAACTTTGAAAATAAGTAACTATTTGCAAACTATTAATTCTTGTTAGAAATTTTTACTACTATAAATGCACTTCTGAATAAAGCGCTGAAGTTTCATTTTAGTACTTTACTCAAAACTAACTATTTTTCTGAATTTTTTTAGAAAATTCATTTACTAGGTGTGACAGTTAATAACATTTTCATTTTAGTACTTTACTCAAAACTAACTATCTTTCTGATTTTTTTTAGAAAATTCATTTACTAGGTGTGACAGTTAATAACATTTAATCTTTCTAAGAGATGCCTCTGGAAAATAGGATTGGTTCACAGTTCAACTTCTTATGTTATTTTGTTGCTGTGGTAGGTAGTACCTTTCATAAACACCATTCATGTCTACACAATTAGAAGGGTGATTCATATATTTTTTAATGTGGTAAACATGTCTTGAGTTTCAAGCCTATTAAAAAACATCTATGGCATGTATTGATTTTCTTGTTTGATCAAAAGAAAAACACTAGTGAAAGCCATTGTATACTTGAGGAAACTTATGGTGACAATATCTTAATGCAATATACTTGTGTGCGTTAGTTTAGACAATTCAAAAGTGGTGATTTTGACTTGCAAGATAAAGAACACCCAGGGCAACAAAAAAAAAAATTCAAGATGCTGAAGTTTTGGGCGAAGACAATATGCAAACTTAATAACTCAGGGTTTTTGTTTATAAATTCTCAACTGAACTGAAGATACCACACTTTTAGAAAAACTCTCTTGTTTGACAATCTTTAAGTATATATTAATTAAGTTTACATTACATTTTCTCTAATTAAGTAAAGATATTAATATGGTAAAATTAGGGATCGACCCCAATATTTTTACAACTTTTAACACAATTAGGGATAAATCTCAACTTATTCTGTAACAAACCACAACTTAATTAATATAGACGTCAAGATAATTAAACAAGGAAGTTTTTCTGAAAGTGTTGTATCTTCAGTCTAGCTGGGAGTTAATAAAATCGTGAAGAATCCTTGATTTGACAAAAAACCAAACTTACCGTAGTTCAACTGCTTAAAAGTTCCCTTTATATGGTTTTAAAATAGACAAGATTGACTTGTATTTAATGTAGATTTAATCTAGTTCACTATGAAGTAATTGGTTGTAACTAAATGAAACATTTTTTTAGTTGTTGCTTTTTATTCAACATAAAATGTGGTTGGCTTAAAAACTTCAAAAATTAAGTTTTCTTGTTTTCTGTATGTAATCAGACCATGGTTTATGATAAATTTTTATAAGTTTTCATTTCTTCTATCGCATATTATCAATTATATGACATTATTGTTAATCTAACCTTGAATGTCAGTTTTGTGGTTTCAAGCAATTGTTGCTTAAAGTGGAAATACAATAAATATAATTTCATAAATATATCCGTAGCCATTGATTTTATCAAAAAATGTATAGGATCATTTTCATGGAAATTTTAAAATACTTTAATATTTTATAGAACAATTTTTGCGAAAAGCCTCATAGTTTTTGAGATATTCTTAACCCTAGAAAAATGACACACTTAAATACGCCACCTCATTCTGACACTGAGATGTGGTACACCACAAACTTTAAATCACCATAAAATTTAATTTTCATGCTCTGGAAAACTCAAATAGTTTTTAGAAATAAGCTAAATGTCCAAAAAATTAAATAAATAAGTTCAAGGTAACCTAAGATAATATATTTTATATGCTCACATAATGTAAAAAATTAACATCTGCATCACTAAAAAATCAAAAAAGGATATTTTTCCATTGAAAATACATTAAGTTTATATCAATTAAATATATATATTTGGAATGTGAAATATATACATAATAAAGGAAACAATTTTTTTTTTTACTTAAGAAGATAATAAAGTCTATAGTGAAGGCCATTTAAGTAACCACTCACTAACAATAATCCAAGCAAACTGTTTCCCTATATTCATTGCAGAAAGGTCTCTTGAATTGCTGACAAACCATTTTGTTTTCCCTATTGTGCAAAACAAATATTTGGCTTATTTTTTTCAACAGTAGTTGTTTATTTGGTAATTTCCCAAATTTCATTTATTTTTAAACTAACCATTCGTGTGAGTGTCTCCAATTGTAGTCTTCCTTTCAAACAGGTCTCTAGTAACGAATAGCGTAATCCAAATAAATAATTTCTCCATCTCATCTTCTATTCCTAGTTAACGAAGCTGGACAATATCATGCTGTTTATACCAGCATGGTTCAAAATTTCAGAGAAAAATCGGAGAGACAACCTCCTTGTTTTTCTTGCTGTAGTGAACACATGACATATTTGTTTAAAATTTATTGTGCTATCTTTATTTAATATGCTCCTTGCACCTTTTCTTTATCTTTTAACTCACATTACAATGCATGGATTTCTTCAGGATAAGAATAGATTTTTTTGGTAGTTGCCATACTAAGAAAATAGTTTCTATAAATTAATGTCTGAATTGTTTGAAAATACCACTAATTAACAAATAGACCATTAGAAATCCATACCTGAATTATTCAAAATTTGAAAACGATTCAAAATGTTTCTTAACAAAGAAAACAGTGGGATACAAAATTCACGGAACAGTACATAGACACCACAGGAGAGTCATGTAAACAACACACTGGGGTGTGGGATATCCCTTAGTGGTTTTTGATAACTCCCAATAATGATACAAGCCCAACAATAGAGTGCTTATGGCCGTAATTAGCCTAGCTAGCTAGCTGATTATTTACATGGAAAACCTTGATCAAAGAGCTACTTATATAAAAGTAATTTGTGGGTTGTGTCACTTCTTATTACTTGTATACATTTTAAAACGTGATCATGGGTCTAACACATTTTTGTCTGACATAAAAAATTGTGAAACTTAAGATTAATAATGACAATCCACATAACTGAAAAATAGCCAAATACAGAGCTAGCCCGACAGGCCACCGAAAGCGCAGCGGAGCTGAGCTGAGCGTTGCTGAGTCAGCTTCCAAAACCGAACTAAAGGTTTTCAATGAGAGGCTGCACACCAGAAGCTGAGCGTAGTTGAGCGTTATAGCAAGGGTCTGCTTTGGGCCAAGTGGGGTTCTGTTTTGGAAGCTGACTCCGCTTGGCTCAGTGTCATCCGTTTTTTTTCTCTCAAATTATTCTATTTTGGTTCAATATAAAATATGATATGGATGTGGAAGAATTCTTAATCAAATGTGTAAGGGGAAATATTCTATTTTATACACAAATATTCGATTTGTTTTTTCAGCTCCAACATGATCATCTTTGCTATATTTAAAAAATATTATATGCTATATATACTTTTTACTTTCACTTACTTATATATATAGTAACGATAAGTATCACGATCATGAAAATTTTCGAATCTGAGTTTTCAGCGGAAATACATGTTTTGAGGTCTCCTGAGTCCAAATAACCAAGTCCCGCAAAATGGTCTCTGTGTGTGTTAGCAGTCTAGCTCAAAAATGAAAAGTCCTACGAAACTGATATAACATATTTAAGCCTTAAATGTGACAGCAAGTTTTTCATTAAAATCGGATAACTGGAAGTGCCACTTTATATCAACGGTGAAACATATTTTTACAATTTTCTCAAAAACGGCTCTTAACAATTTTTATTAAACTCTGTTTATCACTGTATAATTAAGTGGTCTTTAATATCATTTAGGTTCTATCCCCATTAATGTCACTTTAAAGGGCTTAAATGCCCAATGTTCACATACGTCTTTCTCTAAAGTACCTTTAATATGGTTTATTTTAAATAATTAACTATCCCTCATTATTAAGATTTACAAAAAATTACTAAATATAACTTTTGAAAGAATTTGATAATTGAATAAAGGAGAAAAAAATAAATGCTTATTCAGGTTGAAAATGATTATCCGGAATTACTTGTCAGAAGGCATACGTATAATATATATAGTTGGAAAGCTGAGAATTTTAGAAAAAAACAATATCTAATATAGAAAGTTGTTGTAGGTAACAGAGAGTGGTGAAAAAATTATGAATAATAATTTCAGAAAACTAGCATTATTTAGTGTAAATCACATGTTTCCAAGGAAATGAAATCAAATTTTCTTACTATATGTAAACTTTTAAATGTTTTTCTAGATTTGAAAAAAAAAAAAATTAAAATCCACCGAATCAAGCCAATGTCATGGTTTAAAATACTATTTCATTGTACTTGTGTGAAAGAAGTAAAATATAAAAATATTTCATGAATATGTTTATAACCTCAAATATATTTACTATAGAGGATTAACTCTTGATAAGATATTATATTTTAATAATTAGGTATCTATCGGCTATTAATTCCAAAAAATCATCAAGAAACCTTTTAAAAAATTAAATTAGTGAATAATTTGGTTAATTTTTCCTTTATGAAATCCCAACATTATCCACTTACAATTAGTTTGACCTATCCATGGCAGGCAATGAAAATCTCGTAATTTCATTTTACTAAACTTTACAAAGGAAAATAATATTTTAATAACTAATAGTCCTACAATCCATAATCATTTATAGATTAAATATTCAGATACACTTTCAAACCTCTCTTGGCATATATGAGCCTTTCGGTTGACAAAATGACTAACCCCAATTTCAACATTCTTTATTATTAAATTTAGTGATGTTTCTAGTGGCAAAATTTATACCTTTATTCGCAGTTCTGTATCCTCAATCCTTTCAAGTACTCTCTGTATGCCATACTTGGTTATCTTACAGATATTCGCTATTTTTGTTCATGGCCTACAAGTACCATTTGCTCTTTTTAGCGTTTCTCTATTTTCGCCTTAATTAAGACTATATCCAGTTCAATCTGAATGGTTTTGTTATGTATAAAGTTTTTTTTTTTTTCAATTTCTTAATTTTGTAGTTCATTAATTTTAAATGAACAAATATATTTCCAAATTTACATTACTAAGAAATAATTCTTTTTAATTATTAAATTTTTTTTTTTACAGATATCTGATCCCTCCTCGGGCTTTGAAGAAGGTGTTCCTGATTTTCTGATAGAAAAGAAACCTGAAGAGGTAACCTCAAATAGAAGAAAAAATTCAAAACCAAGAAAAATTGAAAGAGAAGTATCTCAAAATGATTGTTATATACAATCTGAAAATAATGAAAGTCCAATGAAACAAGAATTTGAAAAAACCTCCACGGAACCAGTTTACTCTTGCCTTTTATGCCATGACAAATTCACAGAAGCTGATCATTTAAGCCAACATCTTTCTGATTCCCATGGTTATGATGGACCTTTAGACTTCAGTACCTATCGTGATGAAACTGGTGAAGATTATGCTGAGAGTATGATGGAATTAGAAACAGTGTTTTGTTGTGAGATCTGTATTAGAGAATTCAATGATAGAGGTAGTTTATGGTTGCACATGTTATATTCTCATCGCGATGAAGCTTCTAAAGCTTGTGGTGTTTGTTTGAAAATATGTGATGATACTGAAAGTTTGACTCAGCACGTAGAGTCTGCTCATCCCAGAAGTAAAACTGATCAGAGGAGATATAGCTGCCAAGTCTGTGCTAGGCAGCATGATTCCCGTAAAAAACTAGTTACTCATGCTAAAATTCATAACTTAGTCGATGCTGAAGGAAATCTTGTTGACCCTGAATCAGTTGTTATTCTAAATAGTGACTTTTATCCTGATGGTTTCACTGGCCCACCACTTGATGATAGTTATATGCATAGTTGTGAGATATGTTTCAAAGTCTTTGAAAATGATACAAAATTATTAAAACATAAAAGAAGTGCCCATCGGGATTCTATGGGTTCCTTAAATTCATTAAATTCTGGGGCATATCATTTTTATTTTGCATGTGAGATTTGTGGACTTTCTCATTTATCGCGTTCAGAAAGGTGGCGTCATATGGCTTCAACACATGCTGGAGATTTGAGCGTTACGTGTGAGGTTCCAGAATGTGGAAAAGTTTTTCCCACCAGCTCTATTAAAAAGGAACATGCTGCTCATCATGCTGCTCAAGGCCAATATCCGAATACGTGTGAAGTTTGTGGGAAAATGTGGAAAACAAGGGTGGAATATTGGAAGCATATGATGGGTGTTCATCCTGATTGCTTACCTTTTATATGTGGAGTATGTCTAAAAGTGTTTTGTAACTTATCAAACTTAGTAAGTCATGTTCGGGAAAAACATTGGCCATTGTTGGGAGGAGATTTTTGTTGTGATATTTGTGGTAGACCATATTCTAAAGTATCTAAAATGACTCGGCACAGGAAAGTGCATTATGTACCTGGTAATCCACCAGAACTTCAAGCTCTTCTTGAAAATCCTAAGGTAGAAAGTGAACCTCATTTCCTTCAGCAAACATCTACATTGGCCTGTGATTTATGTGATGGTAATACTTTTGAATATGCCAATGTGGAAGAACTTGGTAAGCATAGGCAAGAAACACACAATGTAATGCCATGTGATTTATGTACAAAATATTATGGAAGAACGTCACATTTATGGAAACATGTAAATAAAATTCATAAAGGTCACCCTGATGTTACTTGCCCTACTTGTCAGCGTACATCTGCATCGAAATCTCATTTAGCCACACATATTGCCAAGCATCATCGTAGTGAAGATTTGGTTAGTTCTAAAGGTGAAAAAGAAAGTAATGGCATACATACTTGTGCAAAATGTTCAAAAGTGTTTAGAAAAGAAACATTAGTAAGAAAACATGCCAAACATTGTAAAGGTCCCAGACCAACACCAATCCCTCTTCCAGCACCAGTTGATGGAGTGTACACATGTGAAAGATGTGATAAATCTTTTAGTCTCAGTAATTTGCTTTATAAACACATGAAGAGTTCACATGTAACATTTTCTTGTGAACTTTGTGAAACCAAGTGCAATACTAAAACAGAACTTTATCAACATATTTGTGCTGAGCATGCTGACCATCCTGATGTTAAGTGTGGTGTCACTGGTTGTGATAAAATTTTAAGGTGTAAAGCAGACCTTGAGAAACATCAGAAAGGACATCGTTTGAGTTTTCATCTACATTACTGTATATTCTGTGCTGAATTAGTTACTAGTAAATATAAGATGAGAAGACACTTAAAAGCAATCCATGCTAATGAAAGTAAGTATTTATGTGCTATTTGTCTGAAAGCATTACCTGGTTATAAAGAACTTCAAGCTCATGTTCAGGCAACTCATCAAGCTGCATTACAGCGAGCCTTTGCTTGTCATGTATGTGGCAAACCTTGTACGAATAAATCAAAACTAATGGAACATATTAAGTACCATGGAGCTAATTTCCTTCCTTGCAAAATTTGTTTAAAAATATTTTCATCTAAAGAAGAACTTGATAATCACATAGATAATCATCCTAGTGATAGTGGAGATGAAGAAGACCAGGTAGAAGATGTGGAACTTGATACAAACAGTATAATGGATATTATCGGTGCTCCAAAAAATAATGTAAATGAAAAAATTGAGGAGAAGGAAAATGAAAAACGAAAAGCTAAGACAGAAAGTGAAAATAGCAAACCAAAAAAGAAAACTAAACTTGAAATACTTTGTACTATATGTTCTGACATTTTCACTTCCAATATAGATTTAAAGAAACATATGAGAGATGCACATAAAAATAAAATACCTGATGAGACATCAGAAAATAATGTCTCTGGCTGTACCAATAGTGAAAATAAAACTGAATGGGAAACAACTAATTCAGATAAAAGTTTTATGCATCAACTTGGTCTCATGCCTGAAACAGAAAAATCTAAATTAAAAACTGTTAGAAAGGTTTATACTGATGATTTTACACCCAGTGAATGTGAACTGTGTGGCAAAGTTTGGCCAGCCAAACGCCATCTTTGGCAACATTTGATCAGGTTTCATAAATCAGAAGCAGGTAGGACTTGTGGGGTCTGTTTGAAACTGTGCCCTGATTTTCCTTGTTTGAGTGCTCATTTGGCAATAGAACATCCTAATAATTTTGATGGTGAAGCAACTAATGTTTCCTGTCGTGTATGTGGTAAATATCATGGTGCTAGATCAAAGTTATTAAGTCATGCCATTATACATGTAGGGCATGAAGAAAGAGCTGTAGATGATGTACATCATTGTCTGATTTGTAAGGATACTTTTGTAGAATTCACCCAATTTTGTGATCATATTAGAAAAGATCATAAAATTGATGAAGGTGAAGGTAAATATTCCATTAGCGAACCTGAAACCTGTGTAGATAAAAATGCTGAGACAAACTCTGTTAATGGCAGTGAACATTCTAAATTACCTTTTCATTCATGTGAAGTATGTTCTTTAGTTTTTGCCAGTGAAATTGGATTAACAAATCATAGGAGAATTCATGAGCATTCTGATCATTTCAAGTGTGGGCAATGTGGTGAAGTTTTTGTATCTGCTGAAAATCTTTGTACCCATAAACTACAAAAACACAAAGGTACAGAATTTGTTTGTGCTGACTGCAAATCAAATTTTTCTACTTATAACCAACTAACTGAACATAATAAGCAATGTAAAATGAAACTGAAAAATATGGGTGACAATAATTCCGATGATGATGAACTTCTCCTGGATGACGATATAGAAGAATTAGAGACATCTTATGGAGCGAATGACACTCATATGTCCTCTGAATCTGATATTGACAAATCAGAAATTTTAGATGAAACTGATGATAAGTCGGAAATTTTGAATGAAAATGATATAGAGTCAGAGGAATCTACCAGCGAAGAAGAAGAAGAAAAATCAAACACATCTGATACTTCATCCCATAAAGAACCTAAAGCTGTTGAAGCATTCTTAGGTGGTACAAATGTTGAAGTTGTTCAGATTGATCTTTCTGACGATAACTCTAATTCAAAAGTGAATGAAAACTAACAAGACTGGCTGTAAATTGAACTGCTTAATTTTTAAAGACACTAGATTAGAAAACATTCCAAAGTAAACTATCCATGTAGTCCAAGGGTCCACACTTAACTTTTTTTAAATTTTAAGATTTCTAATTCACTGTAACTAACACTCTATTTCTCTGTCCCAGATTCATATGCATTTGTATGTTTGTGTATTAATATTTATGCTCACAATTTTACACATCCCTAAGAGTATACATTTTAAAACATACAATGACATACATACTGTTTCATGAATTTCCATATTTAAAAATTATATAGCGTAGAAAAGAATTTTATTGTTGTAATATTTAGTTTGTTTTTTATGTAAATAAATGTTTTTTTTATATATATATAGATATATATGCAAGATAGATTTATATAAATTTAAATGCCTTAAACTGATATAAATTTGAGATTATATCTTACCATTTATGTAGATAAAATTTTAATTACATTAATATAAAATATAATTAATAAACTGTGAAGTAATTTCACATTCAGTATTTTATTTTCATTTTTTTTGGTTATCCTAAGAAATTATGATATAAATTACTAAAAAACTTTGATTTTCTCTCTTAACTGGGAAAAATAGTATCTCTGTATAAAAACAAAGGCTCGTTGGCATTTCTTTTCTATAACAAATTCCTTCACTTTTCCTTCCGTAAGTTCATTTTTAAAACTTTATGGTATTAAATGTATCCTTCCTTACCCCTCCCCACCTACATGCCTCATCCTCCTGTTACTTCTTATCCACGTCTTTTACTATTTTTTAAATGATCTATTTTGATCTTTTTAATTCTCTGAAATTAAAGCATTCAATACTTGTACAAGCCTCTGTGAAGTATTACCAAAAGTGCTAAACAGAAGATTTCAAGCCCTATCACTTGTAGCATTTATGACCATGAAGCATGTATGGTAGTTTAAAGATTTTTATTTTTATTGTTCAGGAATCAATTAAAATAGGAAAAAAACATGTTGGCGTTTCCCTTAAACATATTACTGATATATATATATATATATATATATATATATATATATATATATATATATATTAAAATGTGATATTGTATTGTTATATTTTAAGTGCTATGGTTATGGTTCACAGAAAAAAAAAAAATTATTTTCAATTTAATTTTTAAGCAGCATGATTTCATCCTTCTGATCCCAATTAATTGCTTCGACAAGCCTGCAATATTAATTAATTTCATAAATAATTTTATGGTTACTCTATTGCATCTGATTTTTTATTAAGTTTTAATATTGCTGTTTTTGCTATATTTGCCTTTCAGGTGAAGAAGGCATATTCTTTGGCTAACTGGTTTGAACCTAATTACTAACTGAGGCATCCTCTTGTTAACACCAAATCCAGTCCTGATGTTGATCCTCACAGCTGCACTCGATGAAATGGCTCTTATTGCTCAGAATTTAAGATAAAAAATTACCAATTCTAACTTTATTTGAATGTTCCAGACGTGCACATCCTAACTAGATTCATTACTTGTTTTGCTCAATGGAATCAATAAGCCATAGCCCAGTCAAATTAGACATGTTACCTTGCACAAGGTCCAGTAACTAAAATTTCTTTTTTATATTGTTAGATATGTAGTGAAAATAAAGAAATCCAAGTTTCCTCCCATGAAAGCCTTGTGGGTTCCCTGCAGTACTTCAAAAACCATTAAAATTAAGAGTGACCTATATAAAAAATGGTTATATTCAATCTTAAACAGCTTAAAATTATCCGAAATTTATGTATATAAAATTTTCTCTAAACCCAACAGGAATTTGAACTATCACGATTTCAAAATTTACTCATTTAAATTTTTCCCAATAGTGCTGTTTTTAGCTTTGGATGGAAGAATTTTGTAATTCCATTTTGTACCTCATACAGAGAATTTGGAGGTTTTCCTTGAAGATAATGAGCCATTTGAGGAAGGCAGTGGAGGACCCACAGGAACAATGAGGGCCAGACCCCACTTCCCAAAAAAGTGCATACAGTTGTGTTCCTTGGAACTATTTATTTTAAAAAATTCAATGTTCCCACAAAAATGTGTGTACTGTCCCAAAATGGCGTCCAAACGGGATGGATAGACATCTTTGACTTGAGTTAGTTATTCAGTCACTGCGATTTAGCATTTGGCTTAATTTCGTCATAACTGTTCTTTTATGGAAGCTGAATAGTTAAAATATTAAAAAAATAATTACTTTGGCATTAAAAAATACCAGTAAAGTTTTTTTTTCAAGTCGTTCAAACTAAAGTTACAAATCAAACGTTTGTAAATAAACGGCCAACAATAACGAAAAACGCCCTGAAATAAAACATCTGGAGAATAAACTTCTCTTTGTAAAACACTGATTATTTTTTTAAATATTTGAAGCGGTTACGTACAAAATGCACTTCAGCGGAAAGGGGGCATTGGTATATTCAGGCGCTTGAGTCCTCTACCACATCATTCAGTACTCGTTAATGGTGTTATAATAGTGTTTTTGGTAAAATATTTTGATTTTATTAACGAGCAAATATTAATACAGTAAGTTAATTGTCCAAAATAATTTTTTGTGATGAAATCGAACAGTCTTGAGATAACAACAATCCTTAGGAACGGAAAGATGTGTAATTTAGATAATATTAATTACTAAAAAATGTGTTAGAATAGAGAAAATAAGTGGAAAACAGCAAAAATAAAATTGAAAGCTTTTTTCTAATTTCAAAACATTAATTTCATTTTGGTGATTTGTATTAAACATGTTAAGCTTAGAGAAATATGTTTCCTAAAAAAGCTATTGTAAATTTTGCGTGCTTTGAAATTTTCAGCCACAGATAATGGAAAACAAAAATATATGTATGTTTGTTAATTTTTAAAACTACCCATTTTGAAAGCTGGATAGTTCTCTTGCTGTTGGGTTTGGAAAAAAATGTTAAATAGTTTTAAGCTGTTTAAGAATGGATATAGCTATTTTTTATCTATGTTGCTTTAAAAAAATATTTATATTTAGCGGAAACCAAAAAATGTACGATATTTTAATGGTTTTTGGAGCATTGCAGTGTACCAATATTTGCCTTAAAGAAAATATTTGATCAATAGTTGAACGATTCTGTCTAAATCCGCATTGGTGGTCTTCAATAATTTCCTCAACCTATTGCATGATTTGATTAGCAAGAATTAATGTTAATATTTAAAATTACCTATAGGAGTGAGATTCCTTGGTAGTTATAAAAAACCGTTTCTGATCCTTTTTGAAAAATCTGAATAAGAATTGGAATCCTTCCATTGTTATGGCAATTTTTCATTTTCTCGGATCTTTCATATATTTTAGCAGCTCCAGATTCCCGCATGCCTTAATGAGTTCATCAAGAATATTATCGGTTTCTGTTGCTTAATAAGATAACAAAATTAGCGGAGTACTACGGCGAAGATATAAGAAAAAATCTGATGGTGCGCGCAACATACAACTTTCACTTACTGCCCAACTTTGAATAGAAATTATTTTCTGGCCATGTTGGGCTGTTATAAAATTTTTGAATTGCATTTTTAACCGAACTAAAGCTAAAAGCTTAGAGCTAACAAATCATAAATATCATTAATAACAAAAGTCCTGTTTATTATATCACTGGTTGATTATAGGTTGTACAACTGTTAGTTATTCAACAGTTATTTTCCATTGCAATGTTTTCTAAAAGTAAATTAAGAGATTTACATTGTCTGTCATAGACAGGAGAAAAGTTTTCACACTAATTAGGAGTGGATACTGTTGGAATATCGCAAAGGGAAAATTCATCAAATTTTTTGCTAATTTAATTTTCTAAAAGGTTACATGATGATTTTTTGGATGATAGATACCTAATTATTTAAATATAATATAAGATCTAGAGTTATTCGAGAACCCTACCAAAATACAGTAAATATATTTAAGGTCATAAACATATCCATGATATATTTTTATATTTCACTTCTTCTTTCACAAAAGTACAATGAAATCGTATCTTAAACAGTATCGCCTCGAATCCGTGGATTTTAAATACTTTTTCAAACTAAAAAAAAATTATAATAAATTTTATATTTAGTAAGAAATTTAATTTTAGGAAGAAACATTTAATTTCCTTGAAAACAGGTGATTTACGTTAAATAATGTTAGTTTTTAGAAATAATTATTAATATTTTTTTCACCATTCTCCGTTACCTTCTACAACTTTCAATATTAGATATTGTTTTTCTAAAATTCTCCGCTTTCCAGTGATACGTATACCTTCTGACTAATATTTCCGGAGATTCATTTTAGACTCAAGCATTTTTATTTTTTCATTTATCCTAAGGGAGATACTTATTTTTATAGGTATATAAGTAAGAATATTTTTTTCTTCACAGTGATTTATTCTCCCATTTTTTTTTCCACTCAATTATATCATTACATATAACTTTTCGGGATCCACTTATATTCCGAATAAGTGATATAAGTGGATCCTGAAACGTTATATGTAATGATATAATAGAGTGAAAAAATGGAAGAATAAATCACTGTGAAGAAAAAAATATTCTTACTTATATTTTTATTTATTTTTTTCCTTTATTCAATTATCAAATTCTTTCAAAAGTTATATTTAGTATTTTTTCGTAACTCCAAATAATGTGAGATTATTAATTATTTGAAACTAGCTGATGTTGAAGGGTGTATAGTTAAAATTTGAGAATCTTTTTTTGAGATGGACCACCACCGATCCATTAAAATTTGTTAAGTGTTTAATTTTCATTTATGATGAAGCGAGGAGATTGTGGATTTGATTAATTAATCAAAAAGAGTTGTAGTCTCTCCACTTCTTCAACTCTGCTGAGTTTATTGCTGCCATACTAACCAAAATAATATTGGACATAGAGTCACCTACATCCGTGTAAAATTATAACTTGATCTGAATATTGTGGCGGGCGAGGTGAAATTGTTGGGAGTATTTCTGGCTAATCTGTCTGGTTAATTCTAAAACTGTATACTACAAATTCGTTAGGCTCGGGAAGTTGAATCGAACGACACCTCAAACGGGAAGATCGGACAAAGTTGAAAAATGAGTGTTTTACACGTTTTATGGGACAACGCGTTACAGATGTTCGGTATTCCGGATTTTCCCGTTGAGTTGTGATCATTTTTCGATCAGTTGAAAAGTACAACTTGTAAATGTGGCTCGCGATAGAGTAGGTTAGAATGAGAATTGAAGTAAATAACTGTTTAACCGGGCTCTCTAAACAAATTACTCAAGAATTCATAACTTTGGTTCTACTCGATATTGTGTTTTCATTTAAAGCATATATTTTAAGT